GAAAAATTAAGCATTTAAAATCTGCCTACTCAATAAGCATATAAGCAGTATCAATCCAAATTCCGATTTTCCTTGCGGCCGGCTATAGGCGTGGGTGCTGTACTCATCAAGTCTGCTTTTTTCGTTGAAATCCTTCTTCCTCCTACTTTTCTCTCTTTTTTGTCTTTGCGTCTCGTTTCTTCCTCCTCTTCACACCGGCTCAGGCGCCTTCGATCGGGTCGCCTATTGATCGGTCCGAGGGCGATTCAATCCGATGCCGATCCCGACCACAGCCATGCTGAAGTGGCGTCATTCCGATGCCGATCTTCTCGCAAGCCGGCCTCGCCGTCGACATCGGAGGCGGGGGCGGCGTTCACGACGATTTTGTCGGTTCGTCGACATCCTCTTTTATGGAGGCAGCCCGGCGACTGGCTCGCTCCTATTACTCCCACGTAGCACTTGATCCACGACCCATCACGCGTGGTCTTGTCGACGTACAGGCCGCCTTTGAAGTCGCCTACAGCCAATTGGGCGAGTTTGAGCGCCTTCAGACCACCATTTCACACGTCGGCTTCGCTACAGTTGGCCTCGAGCAGGCCCTCCGTCGCGGTCTCGTGGAACTTGAACTGATCGGTCGACAAGTGCGCGATCACATCGCCGGTCTGGCAGCCAGTGAACACTTTAACCTCCGTCTGATGGATCAATTGCGCCGGATCGACGGCGATCTGGCCTCGGGCGTCGAGGCCGGTCGTAGCCTCGAACTCGGCTCCGGATCATGGACCGGTCGGCCAACATCGCAGTCCGACGGTCTTGTCCCTACGTCGGTCAAAAAGAAGCTGCAGCGCGCCTGCGCCGCGCCTCGCCTCGATCTCGACCCCTACGATCTGGACGTCAACGCAGACGTCGATCTCGATGGTGATATCGAAGTCGACATTGACGGTAGCAACGGTCTCGAGGTATTGCTATCCGGTGAGACGGCGCCACAGGCGGCCTGGCTAGCCGAGGTGCGTCGTGACTTAGCCGATCGACACGCCGAGTTCAGCTTTCTACAAATTGCGCTCTGGCGTCAGACTGCCGGTTTACGGAGGCCGGTTCGAGGCAGTGGCAAGTC